AAAAAGTCAAATAGCTTATAGTCAGACTTTGTTATTGACACTCATACATCAACCAAACTACTATTTGAAAATACACACCTACATGTTACAGCCTTGAGCATGGCTTAAAAGTGCAACCAAGTTAAGATTGGTTTAAGTGTTTTGATTGGTTTTTATAGCAAAGACCATTTTTTTCTTTTTTAAATGAATCACCAGAGCACAGTAAAGCAATGCAGACCTGTATAATGTTTTACACTCAACTGATAAATTAGTCTATTTTTTAGAGAGCTTGCCAGCCCAATAATTTTTATTTGGAGACTTACCAAATAATATATTTTATTACCTTTTTGACTGTCAGAATTTCATTAGTAGTTTAATTTGTGACTTTCTCAAAAGATAATATATTTACTCAATTCTTACAAACATACTACATGCAGCCTAAATTTGCAAGTAAGAAATTATATGCAAGTACTGTACTTTGCAAAAATTGAATAATTTATGTTGTGTACATTAATAATTTATATTGTGAATGTTTTGAAATAAAAAAGATCATTGTTTTGTATGTTAAGAAATATTTCTATCAGTAACTCAGTGAGTATGAGGTTTCTAGTGATGTTGCCTGAACATGCCCAGTATATCTGAGTTATGTTTACTGGTAACCATTACACAAACAAAAAAACTCATGATGCATTTTTAAGATAAAGCACAATTATTGCATTAACTGTGCTCCCTTGATCACCCATTCAGCTTTTTCCATTCCCTTCATTTCCGCATCCAACAGTACATGCAATTATCACAGAATTTCCAATCTTCCTTGATTAGCAACCAGTGCAATTCTTTAGAAAAAAATATTTATTTTGCATCTTGGAAATAATTGTGACAGTCATTTTTTATATTGCAAGAAGTCCTAAATCAGCCACTATGCCCACACTGGAATTTTCTAACTGAGAAACTGAAGACTCAAGCTGTGAGTTTGACTCCTCTTCTTTCCTTCTCTCTTCTCTCCTTTTCTTTTTCTCCTTTTTAGCCAGTTCCTTTCTTTTCTTGTTACTTAAATGTGTATTAGTCGATCCTTGCTGGTTCTTTGATTTATCAACAACTTTGGGTCTTGCACCATGGTGTTCATATGCCTTAGTTAATTTCTGTTCTTTTTGAGATAGGGATTTACAAGAGTCTTGAACAGTTTCACTGGTAATGCCACTTGATGAATTTGAAAAAGTTTCTATCTCACCAGTAGTTCTTGTTTCTGATAATTTTATGTCATCCTTGGAGGAACAACCACAGGTTCCAACACCTGGACTAGTTTGGTCATTTTCCTTAATGTCATTATTTAAGTGATTCTTTTTTGTTGTATGTGTCTCTGCTTCCATTGTCAAAGAACATTCCATTCCATGTTCATGATTATTCACTGGTTCATTGCTTGCAGCAGAACTGTCTTGAGATAAATATCCTGAAACAAACGAACATAATAATTAAACTTCAGAGTACATCGTTAATCGTAGTCAAGTTCAAAGTAAGATACCCTCTTTCAGCCTTTAGATAGAGGTCTACAGTGAGAATTGGGAAAGGCGAGATAGATTGGCCATTTGAATTCAAATTCCCAAATCCCTCACTTTCAAATGAAGCGAAGGGCAAAGCCTTTCTTGTGAAGTGAGATTTCTTTGCAATGGAAAATTTTTTTTTACCATACTTAGATGGCTTTGCTTTTACCCTTATTCTCATGCAAATACTCCAAGCATCTCAGAAATAGCGTAAAAACAAGTTTAATTAGCCTTGACAAATGTTCATAAAAATTTGAAAACATTCTTTAATCAGCAAGCATTAAAACAGCTATGAACACAATCATTCAACTAATAAATAAAATATTTTTGAAGCTATCTTGTACAAATTTTGAGAAAAACTAGTCAAGGGAGGTTTCCTACAAATAATCTCAAACACGTGTCACCTGTCTCCTCAGTAATAAACATCAACTGAAGAATGTAATTAATGGAAGTGTCAACATCATATGCATTCTCCTCCAGGGTTTGAGCTATAATGGCCAAGTCCTTTAGAACAAATGTTTACAGTCAGCAAAGGCAAGAAGCTTAATGCCAAACCATGACTTAACTTTTATTTTCCTTTGTTTCAGAAAACTTTATTACACAATTGCTCTACCGAAAAAAAAAAAAAATAAATAGCAAAACCAATAAAAAAGTAAATACATGAAACTTGATGCAAGAACAAACTACAGTGAATCCTCTCCTTAGAGACACCTCCATCCAGGGGACACAAACTTTGGTCCAACGAAAATAAAAATGTTTATATAATCTTTGTATCTGACACTTCTATTAAAGAGACCCCTCTATTTGGGAGAAGGGTACACAAATATCTAAAATTAACATATAGTAGAGATTATCAAATTTCCCCTTAAGAATGTAAAGTAATCAATACTCAGAGATAACAAGACTCCATCCACAAGCGGCTTTGTAACTCCTATCTGTTTCTTGACTAACCCTTTACACCCTAACATCGATATGCATATTCTCCATACTGTTTTCTATGCAACTCCTAAGGTGCTTACAAGGAGAATTTGTTTATCAATCAAGAGAATATTGAGTTGGTGATCATTTCCTTTATTCTCATGACCTTACTGTGCGATACAGGGGTTATACTGTTTGGAGAAATTAGATGCTAGTCACTCTCAGGGGTTAAAGGGTTAAGCAGGGGAAGGAGTCAAATGAACTCTTAAGAGCTCCCCTGCACTATGAACTCAAAACCCATGAAAATCTTGTGAAATAATTCATTGTAAAT